GTGGCTCGTGCTAATGTATTTAAGAATCCAAGGCAGTTTTATAACTTTGTTAATGCTAAGCGAAAGTCTTCAGCATTGCCATCATGGGTACGATTAAACTCTATTGAGGCATTTACGGATCCCGAAATTGCAGATATATTTGCTGAATTCTTTTAATCTACTTATAGTTCTGTTTCTTGGTCTAATTCTAACTATCCTAATCACTTAAATATGGCAAATTGTATTTTTATACCCGTTACTCGTAGAGTAAAAGGGTATACTAGATTCGTCGAAAAGTATGTAACAAGCATTTATATTCTTGATCGGGATCCCTAGCCGTTCGGTATATCCACGTCCCTCTATCCGTCTGTCCGTATAAACGCGGATATCTCGGGATATCTTGTGACTTCAGTTTGTTACGCAAATATGCCACGCCCACTCTAACGCCCACAAACCGCCTAAGCCTGTGGCGCCCATAATTTTCATGCTAGATAAAAAATTTTAACTGAAGTGTATTAGTCTTGTCAATTCCTATCGATTGATCCAAAAAAAAGTTTGCCACGCCTACTCTAATGCCCAAAAATCGCCACAGCCTGTGGCGCCCACAATGTTCATGCCAGAAAAAAAAAAAATTTTAACTGAAATGTTGAATGAAAAAAAGTTCGCCACGCCCACTCTAACGCCCATAACGCTTAAATCAGTCAACCGCCCACAAAACCATATATTGACATCGCGGGTAGGTGGCGCATTTCAATCTCGCTTTGCTGCTTGCATATCTCCATTTCCCTTTGATCCCTTAAGCTTGTGCTTTGCTGTTTGCATATCTCCATTTCCCTTTGATCCCTTAAGCTGAGTAACGGGTATCTGATAGTCGAGGTACTGGACTATAGCGATCTTCCTTGTTTCTCCTGTAATTACCGAAAGTTCTCTCTAAAGTGATTTAGAAACTATAACGCCAATCTATTCTCCTGGGCCAGATAAACTCCCTGGGTGTGTGTTTCATTTTTGTGCCCGAACCATTTTAAACCCATTCTTAAACTTTTTCACTTGTCTATCTCATCACCTGTTTTTCCAACTGTCTGGAAAGATTCTTGTATTATTCCACTCCACAAAAAGGGGGCGAAGGTGAATTTCAGAACTATAGAGGAACCTCCAAATAGTCTGCAATTCCTGAAACATTTGAACCCATTATTACCTCTCGTTTGCAACATTTGTGCTCCTCTCTAATATCAATGTGTTAACATGGTTTTGTTAAGCGAAATCGTCCAGCACTAACCTGCTCGAATTGACATCCTTTGTAATAGACGGATTTCTTCTTCTATTCAAATTAGAACGGCTCGGGTCTCCGAATAATTTGGATTTCAAGTTATTTAAATGGTAGATCGCAGAGGGTTTGGTTTAAAAACGCTGTTTCCAAGATGATCTACGTGACGTCATTTAGGTCCTTTGCTGTTTACTCTGTTTATAAATGATCTTCCCTTTATCGTGACTCACTCCCGTGTACTAATGTATGCTGATGACGTTAAGCTTTGTTAATATATAATAATATATAATATAATAATATTGAGTCTGGATTCTGCTTGCAGTCAGATATTAATAGATTCCAGGAGTGGTGTCAACACAACCTATTGAACTTAAACTATATTAAATGTGACGTTATGACTTTCTGTAGGGGTACCACCCCATCGTTCATGAGTCATTCTCTTCAGAACATGTCTCTGGACCGATTTAGGTGTTCTCCTGGATCCAAAACTTAAATTAAACATAACCTCTACTGTAACTAAAGCAATTAGTGTTATTGGGTTTATAAAGCGTTGATCTAAAAGGTCTTCTAAGGTCTTCAGCTCAACTCTTTGTAATGATTATAACACCCTATATCATCTAATTTGTTCCTCAAATTCTATCCCTATATTGAAAACTAAAATTTTAACTCATTTGCTTTAGTCTAAGTTTCTCTTTGATTTGTCCCGCCTTTATTTGTTTTATGTACCATCCTCGCGAACCATATTCGTCCGAAATGAAAAATGGGCCCCGCGCGTAACAAGCACGTGCTTGGTGTCGTTGGGCCACTTGTTTGTACTGCTCTTAGTGCATCAACGTTCAACAATATATATACATTATATATTGATATGTCTGTCAAAATTTAGCTCTGACTGTAAAATAAAAAAATTGGCTTGAATGGGTGGATACAAGTCGAGATATACGAAGAAATTAAAACAAGAGAAAACTATATAGTCGACGGCCTCGACTATCAGATAGCCTTTTCTCAGCTAAAGGGAGTGCCAGAGGGATGCTTTAAGCACCTAGCCTATAGCACCACCTAGCCTATAGCGCCAACTAGCTTATAGCGCCAACTAGCTTATAGTATATAGATTCTTGAGCTTCTTGAGCAGGGTGCCACTCCCACTCTAACGCGCACAAACGCCCATAACAATAAAACCCGTTAAGCACCAAAATTTCTTAAAATTTTGGAAAATTTTAAATAAGAATTTGTTATACCCGTTACTCGTAGAGTAAAAGGGTATACTAGATTCGTCGGAAAGTATGTAACAGGCAGAAGGAAGCGTTTCCGACCCCATAAAGTATATATATTCTTGATCAGGATCACTAGCCGAGTCGATCTAGCCATGTCCGTCTGTCCGTCTGTCTGTCCGTCCGGATGAACGCTGAGATCTAGGAAACTATGGGAGCTAGGCTATTGAGATTTGGCGTGCAGATTCCTGAGCTTCTTACGCAGCGCAAGTTTGTTTCAGCAATGTGCCACGCCCACTCTTACGCCCACAAACCGCCCAAAACTGTGGCTCCTAAAGTTTTGATGCTAGAATAAAAATTTTAACATAAGTGTATTCTTCTCATCAATACCTATCGAGTGACCCAAAAAAAAAATTGCCACGCCCACTCTAACGCCCACAAACCGCCCAAACCTGTGACTGCCACAGTTTTCATGCTAGATAAAAAATTTTAACTGAAATGTATTGGTCTCGTCAATACCTATCGATTGATCCAAATTTTGCCACGCCCACTCTAACGCCCATAACGCTTAAATCTGTCTACCGCCGGTAGGTGGCGTATTTAAATCTCGATTTGCTGCTTGCATATCTCCATTTCCCTTTGGTCCCTTTAGCTGAGTAACGGGTATCTGATAGTCGAGGTACTCGACTATAGCGTTCTTCCTTGTTTTGACTATCAATGTCCAACTGCATTCCAAAAATTGTTTAATTCGGCCCATTCATTAAAAGGTTAAAAGCAACTAAAGTATGAAATCTTGCGAAGAGAGTCTTTGCTACTTATTTATCTCTATCTCCCTCCCGCCCAGTACACTTAGCTGAGTAACGGGTATCTTACAGTCGATGGCATTAACTATAGCGTTCTCTCTTGTGTTGACTTCTGTCGTTGCTGTGTATCGCAGCTGTGGTGCTGGCGCATGATCGACCTTCCAAGAATTGGCAGCGGTGTACCAGAAACTTCCAGCACTCGTCACATTTAACAGCTTCTGGCAGCAATTCTTCCAGGATGCTCTTACTTAAACCGGATTCCCTCTTTACTTTGGCAGTTAATGTTTTTTATATCAATTTCCATTTTTGGGCGCTCCAGTCAAGGGGAAGGGCATTTTTTTCCTTGGTCATGTTGAACTGCTGTGGTCAACAGTGGCTGACTAGAGAGGGGAAACACAACGGTTCAAATAAGACACTGAAGGCTAACCTGACACTACCACGGCCCACATCGGCGTTGTGTTTATTAGCGAAGACGAAAAACAAACTCAGCACGTGGTCGTTTGCGTAAAGCAGCGGCTTATGTGTGTCTGTGATTTACCACCTCCAGCAAAGTGATCTCACTACCAGCAAGAATGTTGTTTTTGTATGTGTAAGTTTACTTCCCAAACGAAAATTCCGGAACGCATTCCGAAAAAACAGTTCTAGGTCGCCATTTTTTAAGCAAAGCGAAACGTTTGAAACTTTTCAAGGCAAATGTACATGATAGGTGCAGTTCATGGCGGTGCCTTCTAGTGCCACGCCCACTCTAACGCCCACAAACCTCCCAAAACTCTGGCTCCTACAGTTTTGATGCTAGAATAAAAACTTTAACTGAAATGTATTGTTCTTATCAATACCTATCGATTGACCAAAAAAAAGGTTGTTACGCCCACTTAAACGCCCACAAACCGCCCACAAACTTCACAAAATCGTACATATGAACGCGGATATCTCGAAATCTATTAAAGATCGAGAATTGGGATTTTAGATTTAGATTCCGTAGACTTGTACGCAGCGCAAGTTTCTTACGCGAATATGCCACGCCCACTCTAAAGTCCACAAACCGCCCTAGCCTGTGGCGCCCACAATTTTCATTTAATTTATGTTTTCTGTTCACATGTGTAACTCCTGAATAAATATTAGCACTTCTAGCTTAAAATAAATTTAAATTAGTTATAATAATAATATGTGACGCATCTTCGATGCTATATTTTCTTCCACCACTGTAAAAGAACCAAGCACAGGCCAAACAAAAGGTACCCTTTGACAACCAACCGAAAAATAGGGACATGGGAAAATGTGTGCAGTTCTTTTTCGGCCCTTGGATTTCTCGTCACTTGCATTTTCAATTTGGAAAAGTAAATTTAAGTTCCTCGTGCTTCATAAAATGTTGTTGCTTTTTGCCAACAACTTCTAACTAATATTTCCATAGGTAAGGGAAGTGTAGTTAGTGTAAATTAAGACAATTGAAAATTAAAACAATTGAGTAAAAATGTTTTAAAAAATGTTTGCAACGGGATGATTCTTAATTTTAAAAACATCGGGGCTTAAAATAATAAACTTAAAGCCAAAAAATCGAATTGTAGCCTAAGTTTGTTCGTCTGTGCCTGTTTACCTTGAAATTAATAACATATTTTCTTAACAAATGAATGTAGGGCTTTATTGGACAATATGATAACTTTTAAATTACCCAAGAATTTAAACAGTTTATGTTCCTTATTTATTTCTTACTCGATCTTCAATTATTAATTTATTTCGTTCTTTTAGGATGTGCTCGATGTACCAATTTCTCAAATTGTAAAGACGTCCGTTTCACCTTCAAAGGCAAGTGTCCGGAAACAAAATCAAGTGCAAAGTAAAAAGAAACGGAGAAAAATGGAGTCATCGGATGATGAAAACAGTGAGGCGGAGAATGCATGAGATAAATATTATAAATTGGCTTACTTAATATATGAAGTATAAAAAAAAGTCTAATGTAAACTCAAATAATATTACATGTACTTTAAAAAACATGTTAAATATCTTTACTGCAAGCATAAACTTATTGTTTATGAGAAAAAATAAATATGTTAGTCTGTAATTACTTCAGTTAAGCTATTTTTCATTATATTGAGGAATCATTGAAACACACTTTCTATAGACTAACAAAACATTTTTTTGTAGAAAAATAAATACCTTATATTTTGATTTCAATTAACACACACTTAATAAAAAACGATTCAGAATAATGCCCGTACTTGTATATTTAGCTAATCAAATTCTAATAAATGTAAACATTTAATAAATATATTATGTGGAAGCGCTGTTGTTACTTAGTCCAAAGTTTCTGAAACTAAATAGTTTTCTTTACTAGTAGGTCTTGCAAATACAAAAACTTATTTATTTAAAAAGTTTTAAGAATTTCCTTTTTTAAATTTTAAAAATTTTAGAAATGTTTTTTCAACGTGTCTCAAGTTATAATTTTTGAAATTTACACGTCGTTGGGAGTAGACGTGTTTTCGGTGAGCGCGCATAGTGACCACACATTGGCAAGAAAGTAAATAAGTGCAAAGTAAGTTTTGATGGCGAAATTTTTTTTTAATTTATTTATTTTATTTTGTGTAATTGACATTGCACTTAAAATTAATAATTAAAAACTGCCGGCAAAAACAAGTTTGACCTTGCAGACTGGAATGGATCGCTACATTCAAATAAAGCGGAAAGCTAAGTTGGGCAATATGGTCATGATTTACCGTGTTGCCTCCAAACAACTTGAGGCGGAGAACACAAGCAGAGAGAAGAGATTTGCAATTCTGGAGGACCAGTCCTATGTTCTGCCCGATACAGCCACTGAATCGGAGAAGAAAAGGCCAAAATCCAGCTCCAATTTGTATACGAGAGAAAACTTCCAACTCCTTCGTGAATTCTATATTGGAACCTTTAGGAATGATAACTTCCACTTTGTTCTCTTATCAAAAGGTCATATTCATGAGACTAGTCCAAGTCAAACACGAAGATATGTTTAGAATTCTGACTAAATACCTAGATGACAACAAAATTAACTACTACACTTATCACCTTAAAAGCAGCAAAGGCCAACAAGTAGTAACTAAGGGCATTAAAGCAGACGTACAACCAACAGAAGTAGCACATGTACTAAGGGAGAACGGATTTGAAGTAAAGCGACGCCCTTATCCCTTAATCAAGGTGGAACTGCTACCAGCGCTTAAAGCTTTGAAAAAGAATGAAATGCTTCCCATCTACAAGCTCCCGTACTACCTTCAGTGCAGAGCCTTTGTTGAGGAGCCGCATAAACGCAATGGCCCGGTATAATGCACAAATTGCTCGATTCGCCCCATATGAGTAGCTTGTGGCGAGTTCCATGGCACTGATGACTGCAACTTAAACAAAAAATAAACAAAAAACCAAAAGTGTGGAAACTGTGGAGGTAACCACACCGCAAACTTTACAGGTTGTCCGATTTACAAGGAGCTGAGAAGCCGGATCCAACACAAAGTGTCTACATCTCGGTTCCAGACTGCACCATTGATACAGCTGCGAAAAAAATAATAGCACCACTTACTCGAGCAATGTTTGGATAGTCACTCTACCTATATTTTTAGCACTGTCAAAACATGCCAATACCTTTTTGGAATCAAAATGCAACAAAGTATCAGAAAGTGAAAACAAAAATTTTATTTCTTTTTTGGTTTTTAAAATATTTAAAAAAACTTTACTAAAACTTGAAAAACTTAACGAAAAAAATAATAGCACCACTTTTCAAAAATGGGTTTAAAATTATAGAAACTTCCAATATTCATGAGATAACAATATTAAACTGTTAAATCTATGCTTATATTCTTCATTTAATACTTTGTGGTGTATCCTTTATTGGAAATAACATCTGCGCAGCGTCTTGGCATGGGGTCAACTACGTTCTTGCATCGCTTTATGGAAATTTGAGTCCAGGACTCCTTAATTACTCCCCAAAGGGATCCGATGGATGTTGGTTTTGATGCAGCGACTGCCTTCTTGACGTCCGACCATAGATTCTCTGTTGGATTAAGGTCTGGAGACTTCGGAGGCCACTACATATCGTTCACAGAGTTGTCCCCAAACCTTTTCTTTGCCTTCTTGCTGTTATGTTTGGCGTCATTATCTTGTTGGAAGACCGACACGAGCGGCATTTCATACTCTGCGAAAGGTAGCATTATGGTATCCATGATATCCACGTATACGTGCTGATCCATGATGGCCTTGATCCAATGTATCGGGCCTACTCCGTAATAGGAAAAGCGGGCCCATACCATCACACTACGCCCTACATGCCTTATGGTCCTTGTGGTGTACTGGGGCTTAAATTCCGAGTTCTTTGGACGTCTGAAATACGATCTGGATCCTTTTCCACCAAACATAACCACCTTGCTCTCATCTGACCATAAAATATTCCTCCACTGTTCGGGTGACCAATTTGCATGATCCTTTGCAAATTTCAATCGCTTAGATACATTTCTGGGACTTAAAAGTGGTGCCTTTCTCGGGCTGCAGGCTTTTAGGTTATGTTGTCTGAGATATGTACGCACAGTTTGCTCCGTCGCATTTATTTTAAGCTCCTTTTTAAGCTCAGTAGCAGACTTGAAAGGTTCCTTCTTGCTTTGACGAATCAATCGATTGACATGAAGGGGGGTCATAGATCGCTTTCGTTCTCGTGTTTCAGGTTTTTCCTTATAGTTTAGAGCGTTCTTTATCATTTTATTTGAACACCCGACCAATCGACCAACTTCCCTGTACGATTTTCCATCCTTTATCAACTTTTGGATGATATCACGCTTTTCCTCAGTGCAATGCTTTCCACGTCCCATTTCAATGGTATTGTCAAACTTTTTATGTTCAAAATATTGAAATAATAGACAAATCTAATTGACACGTACTTTGAATTAGACTATTCGCCAAATTTGTATGGTATTTGCTAATAAATGTGTTAGTGGCGCTATGTTTTTTTTCGCCATTTTTTGGGCTTTTTTAATAAAATACTTAAAAATAAATATATAGGCAGGACTTCTAAGTATGGTAACACATTTTTTGGTTAGAAGGAATACTAAAGAGTACAAAAAAATTTTTGTGTTGAAAAAAACAAACACTGAAAACAATTTTAATTTACCCAGAAGAAAATGTATTGAAGTGGTGCTATTATATTTTTCGCCACTGTACCTTCGAAACCTACCCTAACGTCTTCTTTTCACCTGCAGGGATATCTTCATTGTGTTGTTCAAACGTTTAGAAATTCAACCTTACCGGGACTACATTCCATGATGAAATATCACCTGGAAGTATTGATACGTAACCTGCAACAAAGTAGGCAAGAGCTCATGAAATTTATAGAGACGACCATGCAAGGTCTGATGGGAAATCAAGATATTTTGATTCAGATGCTTCAAAACACCTTATCAAAATAATCAATGGCTTACCTGCGTGTAGCTTTGTGGAATGCTAACGGGGTTTAACGGCACAAACTTAGGCTACACCAGCGGCCAGAAACCGAAGACAATCCTTGGAAAATCATTTCAAATAGAACAAACTGGGTCAAATTTAAAAAGTTCGTAAGCTTGCACTTTGAGCTATACCCACGGCTAAACAACGTAGTAGACATAAACAGCTTTACCAACACACTCGAGTCGGTTTTGGTCTCAGCGGCTCAAGTCTCAACACCCCAATGCAGAAATCGGGAGGCTGGTCCATGAAAAGTGCTAATCAAGAAGAGAGTGGCTGTTACTTAGATCGCCATTCGCAAAGATAAAGTTAAAAGAAGTCACACAACTGCTCACCGAGGCATTGAGACAAGAGGACAGAACCAAGCATAGGGCAAACAAACGGTACTCTTGACAAGCAACATGTTTTTTTTTTCGTCTCTTGCATTTCTCGTCACTTGCATTTTCAATTTGGAAAAGTGAATTTCAGTTCCTCGTGTTTTATTAAATTTTGTTGCTTTTTGCCAACAACTATTAATTAATATTTTCACAGGTGAGGAAAGTGTAGTTAGTGTATGTGATTAAAAAACACATATGAAAAATGTTTTTAAAGGGCTAAGGGAGTTCGAGCTTGTAAAAACATCGGTATGGGGGTCTGAAATAATTAACTTAAAGCCGAAAAATCAAATTGTAGCCTTAGTTTGATCGTCTGTGGTTGTTTATTTTGTAATTAATAACATATTTTCTTAACAAATGTAAGCAAGATTTACAAAAAGTTTTTTTTATGAATGTAGGGCTTTATTGGAAACATGAAAACTTTTAAATTACTTTAGAGTTCGAAGAATTAATTTTCCTTATTTCCTTCTTACTCGTTCTTTAATTATTAGTTTTTTTCGTTCTTTTAGGATGTCCTTGATGTACCAATTTCTCAAATTGTAAAGAAGTCCGTTTCACCTTCAAAGGCAACCCTTTGCCACTCTTTGTAATAATTTATTTATTTATATAAAGCTAGCTTAAAGTTAAAACTATAGGCTAACTTAATTAAGAGCTATAGCAGCTAAGGCCTTCAACTCAACTCTTTGTAATAATTATAACACCTTTTATCATCTAATTTGTTCCTCAAATTCTATCCCTGTATTGAAAACTAAAATTTTAACTCATTTGCTTTAGTCTAAGTTTCTCTTTGATTTGTCCCGCCTTTATTTGTTTTATGAACTATCCTCGCGAACCATATGCGTCCGAAATGAAAAATGGGCCCCGCGCGTAACAAGCACGTGCTTGGTGTCGTTGGGCCACTTGTTTCAACGTTCAACAATATATATACATTATATATTGATATGTCTGTCAAAATATAGCTCTGACTGTAAAATAAAAAAATTGGCTTGAATGGGTGGATACAAGTCGAGATATACGAAGAAATTAAAACAAGAGAAAACTATATAGTCGACGGCCTCGACTATCAGATAGCCTTTTCTCTGCTTTTTTAAATATCACACCTAGCCTATAGCGCCACCTAACGCCACCTAGCGGCACCTAGAGCCACCTAGCCTATACCGTCACCTAGCCTACAGCGCCAACTAGCTTATAGTATATAGATTCTTGAGCTTCTTGAGTAGGGTGCCACTCCCACTCTAACGCGCA